TGGGTCGGACGAGTCTGAGGATCGTGCCGGACTGCATGGGCCCACAATAGGATAGATGTAAGGACCATGGCCCTACTTGGCTCTAGAGAGCGAGATGGATAGCATGGACTTACAGCGTGATCACGTATAAGGGTGGAATCCGAATCAAAGACCTTGCGAGGCTTTGACAGCGGTAACACATAAGATAGGACCCCGAATGGGCCTTACCTTCCTACGGGAACAGGGTATGAGTCCAGGGGCAGGATGCTGGACTCCGACCGAGTGCTCCATGGAGACTTGGATAGCGGTGACAGGTCCTGTATGAATTATTGCAGGGCAATACGAATTATCGCAGGGCGATACAAATTGTATTTTTAAATTATCGCAGGGCGATACAAATTGTATTTTTGAATTATCGCAGGGCGATACAAATTGTATTTTTACATTATCGCAGGGCGATACAGATTATATTTTGAATTATCACAAAGCGATTTGAATTGTATTATTAAATACAAACGGGGAAATAAAATATCGCATGGCGATGCAAAAGGGTTTTGACAAAATACAAATGGGCCTATGGGCCGACTATTTGACGATATATACTTATGTATGATTTGAAAGGGGTAACTATGGGTTATTTCCTAGTATTATGATAACACCTATGTTGAGGGTCTTAAGGGTTGAAACATTAATTATATGCAGTATAGTTGTCATTGTACTTTTCAAATGCTTCAAAGTACTGACCTCCCCTTCACGGGGGAGGCCACCTCACAGTTTTCAGGTAGAAGCTAGAGCTTGCTTCCTGTACCCGTTGCTTCGGGAATTCTTGGAGAGAAGACGTGGTTCGTGCTTCCTCCGTTCTGTTTTCAAAACAATTACAATGATGCTCATGGATAATATTTTCTAATAAATTATTTGAGGGCTTGTATGCCTAAGTTTGCCAAGTGTGGCTTGAACACTTGTAATATTGTTTCCGCTGCTTTAATGGATATTTTACATTATGTTTGTTTATGGATGTACTATGTGTGAATGATATTCCAGACGCCTTGTATAGTATGAATATGTTAGACTGCGGTTGACTATTCATACTGTACGGCGGGTTGTTGACGTGTCCGGGTAGGTCCGGGGCGTGACATGTCTTCTTCCTCTGGACTGCGTGATGACGCAATGATGACGCAGGCAGTTTTCCGGCGCGTTTGGGCGGCGCGTACGGCCTCTTCTGGTGGCCAAAAAATTCCCCAAAAATACCAGATTTCTCGTCTCGACGAGACGAATCTAACGGTATGATCAGATCGTGATTCCGAGCAACTTGAAAAATCACGATTTTCTAACCTGTAGAAATTTATCTGAAAATGAGAAAACAGTGTATGAAAACTCAACCTCGCTTTGATACCACTTGTTGGGATTGGAAAATTCTTCTACTCAATATCAAGAACAGAATTACAATAGGAGGAGCAAACTCTCACACTCAACTATTACAAAAAACCAATCCTCACCAATACACTTCTACACTAAGTGTATTTAACTCTTCACACACTTTTCTCACTTTCTAAACTGATGATATGAACAACAATAGAACACTCTATTTATAGGCTAGGTTGGAGACAAGAGGAAGTTGCATCCAAGCTTCCTAGTTATCTCCATATCTCCTTCCATGTTCATGTGTTTGATAGCTCCTTCCTAGAAGGTGTTATATGTCTCTTGGCAACTTCCAAGAAAGAAGGTGGAAACTCCCTACACGAACAAGGTCTACCCCAAATGAAATGGGATAAGCAAGAGATACTTTGAACGTTTTTTTTGCTAGAACATGTTTTGTCTTTGGATGGAGTAGTTCAACTCCAAGATACCACTTCCATCTCAAAATAAAGTTCACTTCGATTTATAAGGTCTTTAGTGTAAATGAACACTACGTTTTTGCCATTTTATTGGGATAAGCCGTTGCCCAGATAATCAACGATAAAGTACTGTTGTCCAGAGCCAAAAGGCTAAACTCCAATTTTATGAAATACCCCAAGTAATGATCATCGGACTGTTCGAGAACCTGACTGGCCAATTGAACAAAAAGATTATTATATTCCTTTACGGTTCCCAACTGTTTGACCCTGGACAGCCGTTCGAATTGGCTTCCTTTGAACTGTGAATCAAATCAGGCCATCAGTGTTTATGTGAATTCCTCCTAGGTCATGCTCGGTTTTCGTGCCTTCAACCAAGTCAACCAGTATAGGCCAGCCCCTTCCATGGACCATGGCTACCGTAGTTGCTGCCACTTTCCTCTCAGGTAGGGTTTGATTAATTTCGAACTGTTGTTCAGCCCTATCTATCCACCCGACCGGGTCTGCGTCGTCGAACGAGGGAAGCATAGCGGTTGTCGGGCTTCTCAAGCCTCCATCGATTGCGTGCACAGAAGCGGCGTGCGCAGGAGAGCCGTTGTCGCTGGCTAATGTCGGCGTCTTCTCCGGCAACACCATGGCCTTCACGATCGCAGCAAGAACAGCCGCGATCTCTGCAAGTGGGGTGCCTTGCTCCTCTAATTTCTGCCCTTGCGCGTCGAGTTTCTGATTGATTAGGGTTTGCTCGGCATCCAGCTCTGTCAAGTGATCGTTCTGAGATCTCGTCATTCCGGCGAGATGGGATCTAGCAGGTCGGACCAATTGTTGTGAACTGAAAAATAAAAATCAACAGGCTAAATCGTTGCCCAGATAATCAACGATAAAATACCGTTACCCAGAGCCAAAAGGCTAAACTCCAATTTTATTCCAAGATAAGCAAGAATGAACCTTGGCAAGGGGTATAAATAGCCTCCTAAGAGAAACCCTAATCAAGCCCAAATTAATTAAATCCTAATTAAGCCCATACTAACTCTACTAAGTACTCTACTAAAAATAGGCCCAAACTAAAAAAAACATAACTTACTTTATAATAATAAATAAAACTATAATGACAGCCCATAACCGACCCACGGAAGTGGCCCAAGCCCGTTCCCGCCTCACGCTATTCCTGCTTTGTATCACATTTCAAAGTTTTAGTGCTGTTTCAAAGTTTGTAGTGGTAGAATAGAAACGTTGACCATTATCAAATACGCATCATGCCTTATAAATCTATATATAATATGGTTTTATTTCTTAGCCTATATTAAAACAAACTGTTCAAAAGTATTTCCACTGTCATACAATAATATATCTTTGGAATAATTAATGACGAGAGTTCACATAAATTGACTTCAGAGTTCAGAAGTCAAATCGGACCTTGGATTTGGGATGGAGTGTTTTCTATGTTAGATGCATGAATGAGGTAAAAACTGAACAACACCGTTTTTGGGGGAATTCCAATTTGTCAAAAATGAGTGTTAGCTTGCAAGGAACAAACTAGGACCTTGCACCTAATCAGGAGGAACCTATCGGAATTAAGAGAGATCTAATTGTTAGTAAGTGGAGCATAAGCAGGGAAAGCCCAAGATGCCCCGGATCCTTTGTCGTACCATAGAGTGCCTTGCGGCTTGTGGCAGCGGACGGTCAGATAGCAACGAGGTCGGCCACTAGATCGGCGAAAGAGTGGATCCCAAGATCTTGTGAGAAATAATACCAGGTTTAACCTAAATGTTAGCCCTGGCATATATATATATATATATATATATATATATATATATATATATATAGAGAGAGAGAGAGAGAGAGAGAGAGAGAGAGAGAGAGAAATCATCATGTCAGGCCGGCCTGACCAGGAGAGCCGTCCAGACGAGCCCTTTTGGCGACCTTCCCGGTGGAATTTTTTGATGAAATGTTTTGAGCATGTTCCTCATCAAATCTAGTTTGTCCATACCAAATTTCAGCTCAAAATTCGATCGGGAAGACATTCAAATATTTTTTTGAAGTTGACTGCGTTTTTATATGTATATTTTGACGCAGTCAACTTCAAAAAAATATTTGAATGCCTTCCAGATCGAATTTTGAGCTGAAATTTGGTGTGGACAAACTAGACTTGATGAGGAACATGCTCAAAAAATTTAATCAAAAAATTCCACCGGGAAGGTCGCCAAAAAGGCTCGGCCGGACGGATCTCCCGGTCAGGCCGGCCTGACATGATGATTTCTCTCTCTCTCTCTCTCTCTCTCTCTCTCTCTCTCTCTCTCTATATATATATATATATATATATATATATATATATATATATATATATAGGAAACAGGAGTAATAATTACCATATGAGTCCCACATTAATAATAATTAAATAAATAACTAATCTACTCTATTACACCCCCTCAAGCTGTGCATGAGAAACAATGCGCAAATTGTCACGAAGAAGAGTAAACTGTTGTGGGGACAAACACTTTGTAAAAATATCTGCCAGTTGAGCCAGTGTGGGAACATACTTAACACAAAGATCTCCATGTGATACCCGCTCACGAACAAAATGATAGTCAATATTAATATGCTTACTCCTGGCATACTGAATAGGATTAACCGAGAGATATGAAGCTGAAACATTATCACAAAACAACGTAGTAAGCACTCGAAAACTCTCATCATAGAAAAATCTGGTTTGGAGTGAAATAATTTTTCGTATGGAGAGAGATCATGTAGAGTTGGAGAGGGTAATATATTTATAACTGGCAGTAAGCACAGCATCAACCCAAAACGTAGCTGGTAAATTAGCAGTAATAAGCATAGTGCGTGCTAGTTTAAGTAGATGCTGGTGCTTACGCTCAGCGACACCATTTTGTTATGGGGTTTCAGGACAAGATTTTTGAAAAACAATGCCATGATTAGTAAAAAAAATCTCATATTTAAGTTATCAAATTCACCCCGTCCATCACTCTGAAAAATCTTAATTTTGCGGTCAAGAAGATTTTCGATCATTAATTTAAAATGATGAAAATGAGTGGTAACCTCATACTTGCGCCGCATGGGATAAACCCAAGTAAAACGAGAAAAATCATCCACAAAACAAACATAATATTTAAAACCCAGATGAGAGAGAACAGGAGATTGGCAGACATCAGAATGAATTAAATATAAGGCATAGGGACTATTATGAAAAACTTTATTAAAAGGTAAACGTTGAGATTTGCCTAAATGACAAGGAATACAATCAGAAACTGAACTAGCAGTGCCAGAAATAGAATTATTAATTCGAAGTTGATCTAAAACACGAGTACCACATTGTCCTAATCCATTATGCCATAAAGAAACGGAAGCAGCGGATAAAGCAATGGGTGAAGGCACAGGCTGACGAACAGGATAGACACCGTTATCACTGTGAGCCCGAAGCAGAACCGCCCCCGTTGTTAGATCCTTGACAGAAAACGATTTTTTGTCAAAAATCACAGCACAGTTGTTATCAGCACACAATTTTTGAATAGACAAAAGATTATACTTAATGTTAGGCACATGAAAAACAGATTTTAAGTGAAGAGGGCGAGCAGAGGAAGATAAAGTAGTCTGACCAGTATGCATAACAAGAAGAGATGTACCATTTGCAACTATGATAGAATGAGAATTAGGTGAAAAGGATTTATTTGATAAAATACTTGAATGCGGAGTCATGTGTGCTGAGGCACCTGAGTCAGGATATCAAATGATGTCAAAATGCTCAGGAGCATGAGCAGCAAGAGCAGGTGCAGCCGGCTGAACAAAGCGAGACGGATAGGTAGAAGCAGGGTTACCTGGAGCATAACAAATCTGACAGACAACAGAGGGAGAGACTAAATATCCTTCAACTGAAGAGGAGCCTGCATAACCACGATTAGCACAAGAAGCAGATAAAGCATAAGTATAAAAATTTGACTAAACAGACATACCCGCTGAGCCTGGAGCCCTAAGAATGCCAGCATGTGGTGCACCCCTAGAAAATAGCCGGGGGGCGGATAGCCATAGCCGAAGCCGTAACCCGCCAGATGTGGGCCATAGCCACGGCCCCTCTGCCCCGACCGCCTCGGCCACCTCGGCCGCGCTGCCCGCGGCCTCCTCTACCGCGCTGCCCTCTGCCGCCATGTGGCTGCTGCCTGCCATAGTGTTGTTGCTGCCCTCCAGAAGGAGGTGGTCCTGCGGCCTGAACTTCGCCAGCAAAGGCCTAAGCTTGAGTGGAGTCTTCCAAAGCACGCATATATTGAAGGGTCAGCTCCTTCTCTATGAGGTGAGTGCGCAATTTCTCAAACGTGAAACGCTCAGGAAACAAGTCAACCAAAGTAATAAGAGACTCATAGTCTCTTCCCAAACCAAGCAAAATAGTCTGAAAGAGTTCCTTGGTAGAGACCGGAGAATTGATGCAGGCTAACTTATCAACACTATCTTTAATATCCCAGAGATAGTGATCCATGGACTGAGTGAGACTCTTCCGAGAATGGGTCAACTGTCGTTTCAGTTCCATGCACCGAGCAATACTAGCAGACATAAAATGTGACTCCAAACGACCCCAAATAGCAAAAGCATTCTTTAATTCACGAACCTCAATTAACACATCACGTGACAAAGTAGCAAATAACCAAGAGCGGATAGTTTGATCAAGTTTCAACCAATTACAATAATCCGGATTAATGACTTCACACTGATATGCATAAAAAATATAGGGGGGGAGCAGGAATCGAGCCATCTAAAATACCCAAAAAATCATTTGAGACTAGAAAAGACTCAAATAGAGCGCGCCAAGACAAGTAATCTTCCACAGCATTCAATTTAGTTGTAACTATATTTGTAATATTAAGAGCAGAAAGTCCAATGGTTTTAACTAAACCAGACAATGAAGAACCTGGGCCGGGTAAGGTGTTCGAACGTGGAGCAATAGGTCCTGGATTGAGGAGTGGCAGAACCCCCGGGTCACCTGTGAATGTCGGACCAGCAAAAACAGAGGAGGATTCTGCCACTGGTGGGATGCTGCGACTGCCTGAGAATAGAACAGAGGACGACGGACGTACAGTAGGTGGAGTGGGGGTCCAAGTAAATATCGGCGGTGTCCAGACAACATCTTGAGAAGAGAAAGGCAAAGTCTCCATCTGCGGATGTGCGACCGAGGAGAGCATCAGGAAGGAAGAATGGAGCTGCGCGGCGGAGAGACCAAGACCTGCGGTGGTTGCCGGCGCTGTGGAGGTAATCGACGCCTGCACCTGCTGAGTGTCGATCGGAGAAGACAGCTGCATAGAGGACTCAGGGGTGGCAGAGCTTTGCTCTGTAGACATATCGATCGGAAAAAAATAGGGATTTTAGATGGTTTTGGCTCTTGATACCATGTGAGAAATAATACCAGACTTAACCTAAATGTTAGCCCGGGCAGATATATATATATATATATATATATATATATAGGAAACAAGAGTAAAAATTACAGTATGAGTACCACATTAATAATAATTAAATAAATAAGTAATCTACTCTATTAGATCTCCCATTGTTGAATTTTCGATCGGACAATTGTGAAGAGCGAGGCATCATACCTTGCTCTAAAGCAAGGCAGAGGCTCCGGATCCATGATCTCTGGATCCATCATCTGGGTGGGGATTAATTGAGGATACGCAGAGATTTTCTCCAAAATATTATTCCCCACATTGACTCTCCCATGTTCTGTCTATGCTATATGCCCAGACCCCAGCAAGATCCCTTCAAGTTGCTAAATTTACTATCCATCTTCTGTCCTACTGGAACCAGGCAACTTGAAAACCCCATTTACCTTAGCAGTTTCCAGCAACCTCTCAGCATTATCCCAGTGTCCAACAGAAGCATAAATATTAGCAACAAGAGAACGGTGACTGCCGTTATCCCCATTTTGCATATCCAAACAGTGCCTTGCTGCCACCTCGCCAATCTCTAAATTGTTATGCAATCTGCAACCATGAAGCAGAGCTCCCCACACACCAACATGGGCCTCCATTTCCATTCCCTTTATCAAACCATAAGCTTCTTCTAGCCGCCCGGCCCTGCCTAATAGACTGACCACAATACCATAATGGTCCATAGTTGGAGATAGCCCATATTTCTTCTCCATACCTGTAAAAAACTGGATCCCTTCTTCTACGAAAGCAGTATGGGAATAAGCAGTCAAGATGGCAGTGACTGTTGCCAAGTTAGGTTTAATTCCAGCGTTAATCATTTTATTAAACAAGTTAACAGCTTCAGTAGTGTTACCATTAACTCCGAATCCCATGATCATTGCAGTGTAAGCTGTTACATCTTTGTTTTGTAATCCGAGAAATAAATCATAAGCTTTTTCTGTAATCCCGCACTTTGCATGCATATCCAGAAAAGCAGTTGCTAAATGATCATCCATCTGGATTCCTTCTTTCTTCATGTATGATTCAATCCAAGAACCTGATTTCAGATCTCCCAGTTGAGAACAAGCAGAAATGGCAGACGTTAATGTCATATGATCTGGTTGGAGTTTTGATTCAAGCATTTCATGGAACAGCTTGAGAGCTTCTTTTGGTTGACTGTTCTGAACATATGTAGATATCATTGCATTATAAACGGTATGTTCTTTTCCATCAGTCATGTCCAAAAATAGCTTCTTAGCAGAATCTACATCTCCGGATTTTGAGTACCCAGAAATCATGGCAGTGAATGTAATTTGATTCTTTCTGTTGTCCATAGAATCAAACAAGCGACGGGCAACATCTATCTTCCCACACTGTACATATCCACTTATCATTGCATTCCATGAAGCGGAACTTCTTTCTGGCATTTCCACAAACAGTTCATAAGCTTTCTCCATAAACCCTTCCCTTGCATATCCAGACACCATAGAATTCCAAGAGATAACATCCTTGTCTGGCATTTGATCAAAGACACTTTGCGCCGTTTCTAAGTTTCCAGATTTTACATACCCGGACAGAATCGAGTTCCAAGACACTACATTTTTCACAGGCATATCATCGAATACGTTCCGTGCACAATCCATTTTGTCCATTTTTACATAAAAAACAATGAGAGATGTTTGAACGTAAACATCCCTAGAAAACCCATACTTGTAAGTCTGGGCATGAAATGAAGTCCCAGTTAGCACATCCATTACTCTTGAACATGATTTCATAGCAGATGATATGGCGAAGGTGCTCGGGCTGAGTCCATACCTCTGAAACTGTACATAGAGAGATATAGCCTCTCTGAACTGAGAATTTTCGGTGAGAACCCGAATCGTGGATCCAACTAAAAAGGTGTCAAGTTTACGCATAGACCAAAGCATTGACTTGACATAGTGAAAGGTACTCCGGTGGTGAGTTTTTGCAGAAAGAAGAAGCCGGTGAAACAGGGGGGGCTCAAGATCGTGGAGTCCGTTGATTAGTATTACGGCATGGATTTGCTTTGCTTGGTTGATGATTAGATGCTTATCCAACAAAGCACTGACTTTTGCTTTCAGCATAAGCGAGATTATTATGGTACCTCAAAGTGGTAGAGGAGTTTTCTGTTGTTGTGCCTGCTCTTGACGATCGGTCCGGCGGAGCTCCGCCGGGCTCATTGAAGTCCGGTGTTTCCTCCGGACCAGTTACTACTACCTATGTTGCACGGACACGGATACGCCGATACGCGGATACGCGAATACGGGTACGGCGATACGACAATTTACAAAGGATACGCATCGAGGTATCGATATCGGATACGTATCGGATACGCGGATACGACATCAGGGTGAAGTATCGGTGCAAGACTGACTACTACCTAGTAATCAGTCCTTTTCTTTTCAGTGTGTCATATGACTCAAATAGTAGTCATACCCCGCATTTGACATTTTAAGTTGAATGTTGAGTGTGGACCTATAATTCATGAAAATGTTAAAAAATGCTCCTTCTATAGGTCGATCAAATTGTTTGCACATAATAATTTGGTCGGGGTTTTAGGAAGAAAACCAATTACACATAAACAAAAAAAAATATTTGTATCACAAATATTTTAAATTATTCGAACAAACAATTTCAGGGGCGGAGCCAGGATTTGACGATAGGGGGGCGGGTCAAGAATGAACGCAAGCAATAAAATATACTACGTATATTTCGAGCTCGAAACAAAACCTTAAAGATTTATTTTTTCACTAATTAAAGATGACTTAAGTAATAAATTTAAAATTATAGAAACCTTATAGAAACAAAACCTTTAAGATGACTTAACAAAACCTTAAAAGATGACTTAAGTACTAAAATATTACAAATGAAAAGGAAAACTTGAAAACCATTCACGAGTAAAATACATAAATAAATTACTGGAAGATAAACCATTCCTATGTCCTTTTAAAAGGACATAGGAATAAACTAACTACTCGAAAAAGATTAAAAAGGACATATGAAATACTTAGATAATACTATTAATACTATTAAAAAAATAAAATACTTGGGAGGGGCCAAGGCCCCCATAACCTTGTTGATAGCTCCGTCCCTGAACAATTTGATCGACATGTACAAAAGAAGTGTTTCATTGTCTGGTGCAGATAATTTGAATTGTCTGTCATACAAATAGATATTTGTCTGTGTAAAAATCGGGTTTCTTCATAAAATGTCTTTCAGGGGGTGTTTGGAACTGATTCTGCTTCTGCTACAATCAAAATTGTAGTTTTCAGAAGCACAATCAAAATCAGTTTTCAGAAGCTCGTACCCCCCAACTTCTAAAAAAACTGATTCTGAGAGCAAATTAGAGCACCAGAAGTGCTTTTGGAATTTCACTCAAACACTCCAGCTTCTGCTTCTGCTCCCTGAAGGAACAGAATTAGTTTTGAGAATCAGATCCAAACACCCTCAAATTGTCTGTGCACAGACAAATTTGATGGGCATGTACAATACCATGTACACAAAGCCGGACTGGAAAATGTTTCTCGTCACAAATAAAGTTAGGTACAAAATTTATAAGTTTCATAATAGCATATGGAACTACTTATTACATAGGCAAAAGTACGGAAAATGTACATGTGATTTGGGTGGTCTTCAGATCGGAGCATGTGTTTTACTATTTGACAAAGTAGGAAAAAATGAAACGCATGTCCCTATCTGAAAATGAATCAAACCACAAGTACATTGTATGTACTTTTCTGTATTGCATATTACGATCTAGGGAGTTAATAGAGCAGCTTGGTTTAGTTCGAGTCGAACAGTTTGGTTTAGTTCGAGTCGAGCTTGATGAAGCAAAACTGAGATCAGGTCAAGTTTCAGCCAAGTTGAAAATTTTATGACTTGATTTGTGTTGTGTTCGAGTTGGATTGGAGTAGTATTTGAGTTTTACTCCTTTCGGTCCTAAATAAACT